GGGAAAGAGACAGTGAGAGGGAAAGTGACAAATCACTCCCTGGAGAGGATGATCACAGTGCAATCCTTTCTCCTCCATTCTCCTCCTGGGATTTCAGGCATGCATGCACACATACGTGGTGTGATGTTCAAGTGGTCAAGTCAGGAACTCAACCCATGGTCAGCCACATGGGAGTCCAGTACCTTAGCCACTACACCACCTTTACAGTATCACCTTTAACTGACCACCCTATGTTCAGGATGTGATTAGCAAACTGTACAGAAACTTTCCTCACCTTTTCTCATGAAAGGAGACACAGAATGGTCCATCTCACCATTATCCAGAGTGGTATAATTTGCACTAGGATTCTGCTTCATCACATCAAAAGATGTATGATGGACGATTTTAGCCACAGTTTCTTCTGGCATGTCTTTCTCTAGAAATTTTAACAACTTCTGAATTTCACACTTTGGATTCTAAATAAATAAGAGAAAATCTTCAGGTAGATTTAGTCATGAAGAAGGAAACACATGTAACAAAGTTTTACTATAACAATGTAATGGAAAAAATAATTTCAGATTTTTATGTGCACTTTCATTTTATTTTCCCAAGTACGTATCCTATCCTTAGTTATTCTAGGAAACCACCTGTTAGAAGGAAAAATAAAATTTATTTCAAAGCAGAAATGGAAAAAAATGGGTTAATATTCAAAACTTCACATTCAAAAATAGAATTAATCTGCAAAGTAACATGATAGTTAATCAATACTATTATTGTTAGGCATAACTTTCAAAATTTCTTGATTTTTCTTTAGGTTTTTGTTTCCTTGTTTTGGCTTATCAAACATCAAGAATAGATTACCTATTTCAAAAAGTTATCTCATAGTAGAAAAAGATACTTTTTTATGTCTTACACCTACATAGGTTTTTTTTGGGGGGAGGGGGTTGGTTTTTTGTTTGTTTGTTTGTGTGTTTGCTTTTTTAAGAGTGCAACTCTATGAAGAGGAAAGTATAATAGAATTCTATCCATTTTCCAGCCTAAGGAATGAAAGGGATGAGAAACAGGCAACAATGAAACAACAAACAAGAAATCCATTTGATGTAATCCTTCTCCCTTCTCTATGTTTTAATTCAGACATGGAAATTTGCATTTGTTACAGTGAAAGGGTAGCATTTTGTCCAAGGGGTTTGTGGCTGGCCACCCTTCGGGAAAGTTTTGTTCTCAGTAGTAAAGGCAAATTGAGTGAGCGAGTTATAACCTTAGTGACTGGTGAGATCAGTCAGAAAGATAATTTGAGATTTAGCCTCCCAGACAAACCCATCGTAATTCATGTAAACAGAACCAGGCAGTTTTATGGTGGTCCTCAAAGAATCTATTTCTTGTAGCCACAGGCTGAGAGTTTTAAAAATTATATACAAACCTTAATTGTATGAGTTGAGGAATCGAAATGAAAGTTGAAGTCACAGTTGTGCCAAGTCTATCATGTAAAAGTTAAATAATGGAGTGGAAGTAAAAGGGTGGCTCTAAACTGAACTTAAGTTGTCAAACCGGGTCTACATACTTCAGCAAAAAAATTGGCCCAAAGCGGTTTTCAGATTCGCTGAACTACAATCTAGTCTGATGATACGAGTAAGTAGTAACATAACCTAAGAGCATTAAATTGGTATTCTAGCAACTGACCCTCAGCTAATCGCAATAGCCAACCCCTCAGCCAATAAGAAGTTGAAAGCTGCTAAAACATGACCATAAAACACAAATGCCAACAGCAGCAAATCAGGTTGGTTTTGCATGTCATTTCCTTGATTTTTATGTCACTTCATTTTTTCCTGTTATAAATTTAAGCTGCACATGCTGTGGAGAGGCAATCTAAATCAATTTTAATTGAGAATCTCTTGTTCAATTAAATTCTGCTAAATTGAACTGGTCTTAGATATTTTCCTTTTGATAGTGGAATGCTAGAAGTGGGAATGAAAATACTTAGGCTGGATCTGATGACACAGGGTATCTTGAACATCTGAGTTATTTTAAGCCTTCTCTTCCATAAGATATAGAGTCCCCTCAAATATCTGAGGTGACTAAAGTTCAGTTTAAAGACTTTATAAAGACCTAATATAGGAAAGATTTTTTTTGAGTTTAATGCCTATCCTTTTAAAGATCCATACCCAACCACTTCTTGTTGCTTCTAGACCCTTAACTAGATCACTAACTCAATGTAATCCAGGGGTCGGTACAAAATCATCTTAACAGGATGCAGGAAAAGATGATAATTTAAGAAAGAGAATCTGGAAAGAGTTGCCATAGTTGGAGAAGGTAGTTTTCTAGAGGTGTAGGATAGGTTTCTCAAATCTGAGATGAAGGGATTTCATAGACAATTTAAAAGAATTTAGAGAAACTGTGCAGCAGGTTGGGTAAATGAGGCTATGTCAGAGCTATTGGACCCTGAGAAAAGTGAGGCAGATAAAATAGAATAACAATTCACCTATCACAGACTTTAGTTTGGAATGCCAGAGTGGCTCACAGAATTTAGGTAATAAAGACCTTAAGGATAAGAAAAGATTAGTCTATAAACAATCAGAACAAATTTTCAGGTAGACTTGCTCTTTGAGAAAGAGAAAGATGTCACAAGAAGAACTTTGATAAATGGAAAGAGATTTAATAATGTAACTTTGTAAAAATGATCTAATTTTGATTTCAAAAACATCATTCTCTTGAGTGGATACTGGAAGGAAGATGGAGTAGTCTAGATCAAGGTGGATGCCTGAACTCGTGCAGGAGGCAGCAGGGACAGAAAGAAATGGAGGGCCACAAGATCTATTTTCAAGGCACAATTGATTGATATGATAATTAATCAGCCCTATTTATAGATCAAGAAGAAAGTAAAGTATAATACAAAGTAAACAAATCTTACGTTTCTTTCAAAAATAAAGAAGGAATTGTTGTTGTTTCTTACCTCTTTCATGTCCTCATAAAACAGGTAAAGGATATGATAATCTTTCTTTTTCTCCCACCAACCTTTCACATGGTCATACCAGGAACCAAAACACACTAAATTGAAATTTAAAAAGTTTGTAAAATTTTAACTATTTACATGAAGGAAAGAATTGTTTGATTTTATCCTAAATCATCAATATTAATATATATATCTGATTACCTGTTAGTATAAGACAGAGGGGTGGAATGAAGGGATAAAAGAAGTATGAGAAATTATCTTATGTGCTCACTCAATTTATAATCTACTTGAAAGGAAAAAAAAAATATTTCTGGTATAAGCTAAGTTGTATCTCCCTAAAATTCATATGTTGAAGTGTTAACCTCCAGCACCTGAGAAAGTCATTATTTGGAGATAGCATCTTTACAGAAGTAACTAAGTTAATAAAGTGAGCCTTAATCCAATATAGCTGGTACTTAGAAAAACAGAAATTAAGACACAGATGCACAAGGCCAACAGGTGGTATAGTGATTAAGGCACTGAACTCCAATATAGTTGACAACGGTTCAAATCCCATACCTGGCATCTTGAAAATCATACTGGGCACATGTGCATGTATGTCCAAAATCCTAGGATGAGAATGGAGAGGGATTATGGCATGGCCATCTCCCATGGGGAGTGATTTTTCACTTTCCGTCTCACTGTTTCTCTTTGTCTCTCTCCTCTCCAGTGAGTGCAGGCACCCTAAGACAAAAACCTTAAAAAAAAAAAAAAAAAAAAGACAGACATGTAGAGGGAAGACCATGTGATGACACAGGGAAAAGACAGACTTCTACAAGTCTAGGAGGAAAGCTTCAAAAAAAAAAAAAATCGGGAACCAGCAGTTAGCGTAATGGCTATGTCGCTGGACTCCCAAGTAGTCGACTGCGGTTCGTGTCCCAGACCCGGTGGCTTAAAACTCACGCCGGGCGCGTGTGCGTGCGTGCCCAAGATCCCGAGAGGAGAATGGAGAAGGGATTGCGGCGTGACCATCCCCCCTGGGGGGTGATTTCTCGCTTTCTGTCTCTATGTCTCTCTCTGTCTGTCGGGCGAGCGCACGCGCCCTACAGTGAAAATCTCTCCAAAAAAAAAAAAAAAAATCAACCCTGATGACACCTTAGTCTTGGACTTCTAGCCTCCAGAATAGTGACAAAATAATTACTGTTATTTTTATCGCCAAGTCTGTGGTAATCTGTTATGGCAGTTTCAGCAAACTGAAACGTCTAATAGAAAAAACCTAACCCTGTAAGAGCAATGCAGCAGATACTGAGTAATGCCGATAATGAGTAGTATGGGGTGTGGAAGTTTATAGGAGAGGTAGAGAGAAAAGGAAAAACAATAAATATGAGAATGGAGAGGTTAAGAAAGGACTATGGAGGTAGAACAGTGCATTTGGATCTAGGAAAAAGAGTTTGGCTTTGATAATGATAAGAATGAGGATGACAGTCTATGAACGAAAAATTGTCCCAAAATGGCAAGAAAAAATACATGCAAGAGAGCATTGGGATATATTTGCCTCAAAGAGAGTTTTTAGAAAATAATACATATATGAATACAATTATATATAAATATGTTTCCCTGAAGAAAAGAATACACAAAAGAACAGAATTTTAAGGACAGACCATTCCCTCAAGAATTTTCATAGCTTATGTAATGAAAATGAAGGAATGGTAGAGGAAGGTATCTAAGCAATATGGATAAAATTAAAATTGTACAATGGCATGAAAAGTGAGAGAGAATATTACTTAGATTTTCAGTAATTATTTATCACTAAGGAAATGTTGAAACTATAGGCTGGGAATCTGTATATCTCACATGCTCCAGTAAGTCCTGGAAGGGAAGCAATGACAGTGTTTTCTGCTTCTCTATCATTTTCTTAATTAATCCATTAGTGTATTGCTGGCTACATGTAAGCCACAGATGCAAAATTCATTTTTAAACTTTATGTCTTACTACAGAAAAATACTTTTTATTATGAAACTCCCTGATTAAAGTAAGAGTTGGACTCACCCTTTCCAGCCATGAAGCTTTCCAAGAACTCCTCCCAGGTGCCAGGGTCTGGGTGTATTTTTGCCATCTGGTAGAAATAATAGTAAGATACAGCCACATCTTTGGCATTTCGTGCCACATAGATCATCTGTTGAGAGATAGAGGAAGTCATCATTTTGTTTCTATTCTTTGATAGTTTTTAACCTTTTGCTTATTTTAACAGAATGCATATTTTTCTATTTCTTGATCTTGGCATTTATATACATACCCTAACACTGGATATTCATATGTGTGTGTGTGTGTGTGTGTGTGTGTGTGTGTGTATAATAATTCTATTTCTATTAAATATGTGGAATTTGCAGTTTAAAACAAAGAAACAATATATTTCAAGCATAGAAGCTTGCAAGCCAAGATGGCTTTACTTATGAATTATACAAAATATTTAAGAATTAAATAAAATACCAATTTGACCCACACACATCCAGAAAATCAAAAAAGAATACTGTCTAGTTCATCTCAGGATGCCAGCATTATCTTAATACCAAAAACATTATACATTAATAGCAAACACATTACAATAGAAAATTACTAATACGTTTTGAAAAAGATGCAATTTTTTTTTTTTTGAGAGGTTTTCACTATAGGGTGCATGTGCTCGCCAGACAGACAGAGAGAGACATAGAGACAGAAAGCGAGAAATCACCCCCCAGGGGGGATGGTCACACCGCAATCCCTTCTCCTCCATTCTTCTCTCGAGATCTTGGGCACGCACGCACACGTGCCCGGCGTGAGTTCTAAGCCACGGGGTCCAGGACGCGAACCGCGGTCGACTACGTGGGAGTCCAACGACATAGCCACTACGCTAACTGCTGGTTCCCGAAAAAGATGCAATTTTTAAAAATTAACAAATTGAATCCAACAATATATAAAAAGATGATTCATCATAACTAAATATGTTATGCAAAGTTGTTTTAACCTGTGAAAATCAATCAAAGAAATGTATCATATTAACAGACTAAAATAATGGAGAATCATATGATAGGTAATAGAAAAAATAGACAAAATCAAACATGCATTCCTGATAAGAAATAAACAAGGGGGGCCAGCAGGTGGCGTGGTGGTCAAGGGTGTGGACTGCATCCCACATGGCCAACTCCAGGGTTAAAGTCCCTGACCCAGTGGCCTGAAAAATATGGCACATGTGTGTACATGTTCAAAATCTCAAAAGGCAAATGGAGGGAGAGGGACTGTGGCATGGTCTTCCCGCTTAGATAGTGGGTTCTCGCTTGTCTTCTCTCTCTCCCTCTCTATCTCAGACAGCACATGTGCTCTATGGGAAAAAAAAAATCATGTTCTATAAGAAAAAAAAGTAAAATGCATCAAGATTGGGAAAAATGAAGTAAGAACATTTTTATTTGCTGACTACATAAACATGTACACAGAAAGTTTAATAGAATCTACAAAATAAACTATTATATAAATTGTAAGAAAGTTACAACTTAAAAAAATCAATTTTGTGTCTGTATACTAGCAGCAAGCATTCAGAAAATAGTGTGAATGTGTATCTGTGTGTCTGTGTATGAGAGAGAGAGAGATGTGTTATTTAATCAGAATTTTTTAAAGGAATATTACTACTTATGTTATAGATACTAAACATTAATATCTAAAGGTGATAACCAGAACAAAGCCTCGAGAAGTAAACAAAAGGGAAGATATCTTCATGACTTAAGAGAGGGCAATTTTTTTTTTCTTTTTTTGTAGAGGATTTTTGCTATAGGGCACGTGCGCTCGCCAGACAGAGAAAGACAGAGAGACAGAAAGCAAGAAATCACCCCCCAGGGGGGGATGGCCACGCCGCAATCCCTTCTCCTCCATTCTCTCGGGATCTTGGGCACGCACGCACATGCGCCCGGCATGAGTTTAAGCCAACGGGTCCGGGACTCGAACCACGGTCAACTACATGGGAGTCCAGCGATATAGCCATTACGCCAACTGCTGGTCCCAAGAGAGGGCGATTTTTGAATAAACACAGAGACCTATTCATAAAGGAAGAAAGCAATATATTCACTAACCTCAAAACTGAAGAACTTTAAAAGACAGAATGAAAAAAGCAGAAAAAGAAATAGATGGAGTGATTTAAGATATAAACAAAAGTCAGTATGTAATTAAATGACTTATATGCAGAATGTATAGAGAATTTCTACTTCAATTACAGAAAGTCCCTAGAGACAAAAAGGCAAAAAACTTGAACAGGTATCTCAGAAAAGAAGAGATATCTAAGTGGTCAATAGGTCATGTAAAGGGGCTTTGTCTAATTAATCATTAGGAAAAGACAAAGTAAAAGTCACAGTGAACCATTGGCTATCTACTAGTATAACTAATATTAAATATTTAACTATATTCTATGTTGATACAGATATGAAGTAACTCTTAACTCATATACAATGCTAGTTAAAGTGTAAATTGAAATATATGCTTCAAAAAGTTCTTCAAAATCTCTGCTAAAGTTGTAAAATGCATACCCTAGCAATTCTATCCAAGATATATAGTAAAGAGAAGTATATACATATATACACAATAAAAGCCTTGTACAAGAACACAAATAGGAACACTACTTTAATTACTAAGAACTGGCAACTATCCAGTCATCTAACAATAAGTATCATAGATAAGTAAGTTGTAGAATATCCACATACAAATAATGGAATGCCTTACTTAGTGGTTTTTAAACATTAGTTAAATTTATGTGAAGGGTTCTTTAAACTCAGATTTCTGGCCTAGCCTATCAGTGGAGTTAGCAGTAAATTGAATTCCAGGGCTGGAAGCCACATGGCAACCACAGGTTTGGATGCCCACGTAGGCTTTAAAAACACACTGGACACATGCTCTCATGCCCAAGATCTTGAAATGTTTTTCTTTCTCTGTCTATCTCTCTCATGTGCGAGTGCAAACTTTCTATTATGAATAAAATAAACTTAAAAATACACAAACTCAGATTTTTTAGTTCTAACACCATAGTTTTCTCATTCAGTAAGTCTAAATAGCTCCTGAAGATTTGCATACTAATGAGCTGCTTTTCTACACATTTCATGATCCAGCAGACCAAATCAAACAAGATAAAAACAAACAGTAAGCACAATAGGGATAAATCTAAAAAAATTATATTGAATAAAATAAACATAGAATAAACTCTTTCTTATTACTCACAAAACAAGCAAACTAATTTATGGAAAAAACCTTCAGGATACTGGTTATTTTTAGCGATAGCTTTTACAGACTGGAAATGTGCAGGAATAGAGTTTTTGGGGTGTTGGTAATGTTCAATTTCTTGATCTGGGTTCTGGTTTCATATGTATTCTCACTTTGTGAAAAAATTATCAAGCTGTATATTTAGAACTTACGTACTTTTATCCCTAAATAAACACTTGAATAGAAATCTTTCTTTTAAAAAAAAAACCTGGACCAGACTTGTAGTCTGCTTAAGGGAACCAGATCCCACAGGGATTAACACAATTTAAATCCTGGCTCCAGTGGCTTGAAAAACATGCTGGGCACATATGCATGTGTGCACTCCCATTGGGTAATTATTCCTACTCTCTGTCTCTCTCTCTTTCTTATAAGTACATATACCTCTGGCAATAATAAAATTTCTAAAATGATTCTACAAATACATGTAAAATTATATAATTTACCATCTCTAAGTTATATTATTATAAATGCATGTTTATAAATTATGCCAAAGCATGAAGAAACAGTTCTGGAATTATATGAACATTTACTGTTTGAAAGTACTTGACAGTGACTGAGAGTATTTGGGTAGAAAGACAGAAAACTTGACAGGATCTCAGGGCTGGGGCCCTGAGTACAATCCCTATCTGCAGCCTTGATGCCGATGGTGATTATTCTGATCTTTGGAATCCTAGAGTCACATTATTATTTTTAATGATTAGGCATGATGCTGCAATTTCTCATTTTGTGTTTCTGCATAATTGATAAAGAAATTAAAACACAAATAAGGATTTTTTTTTGTCCAAAATTTTCTACCTTGCAGTTATTCTTCCAAAATGATGAAGGAAGAAGCTGAACAGGGAGGTGTGTCTTCACTAGTCGAGGAGACTGCACATTTTGCAACTGCTCAATACCTACAAACACAAAAATGAGCAAAGTACATTGTAAATGTGGAGTTAGAAAGGTCAATTATGATACAATCTAAGATTTTCTAAACATTAACCTATTATATGGCTTTACGTTATATTAGCTACATGGCTTTCCAACTTCATAAACTCCTAAAATCTACAATAAGATTAAAAATAAAGATAAATCCTGGGTAGACTGTTTTATTACATATGGAGAGCAGGGAGTTATGATCTTTATAAATGCCTACAAAATCCTTAGATAAAACATTTGGATGGAATAGAAACAGCAGTAGGTCAAGAGGCAAACACGTTCAGATTTTTCCTTCATTTCTGATGTGAGAAAATTGAAGTAGAGGATTTCAATTATTTTTTTCAGATCTCTGTCTCAAATTACAAGATCAAATTAAACTGTGAGGCTCATGGAAATTTTTTAAAAGTTTAATAATGTGGCCAGCAGGTGACATGGTGGTTAAGCCACTGGATTCCCATATGGCCTACCATCATTCGAATCTCAGACTTGGCAGCTTGAAAATCCCACTGGACACGTATGCATCCATGATAGAGCTCTTGAGAGAACAGGGGAGAAGGGATTGCAGTGTGGTCATTGCCCTGGGGAGTGATTTCTCATTCTCTCTCTCTCTCTCCAGTGAGCACATTTGCCTTATGGGAAAAACATAAAAATATAATAATAATAATTAATAATTTAATAATGCAAGATAATACATTTCTATAATACTTTTTAGGCTTATAAATAGCAGCTAACTAGTAGAATATATAATTCTATGTTAGATAAATATTGAATTTTCTGTGTAGAATAACTATACAATATTTCAAGTTTGAAGGTTTCTAAATTCTTATTAAAAAATCTGTGCTACATAAAATCTTTTTTTAAGCAGATACTTTTTTGTTTTGTTTTGTTTTTTACTATAAGGTGTGTGCGCTCGCCAGAAAGACAGAGAAAGAGAGAGATAGAGAGAGAGAAAGCGAGAAATCATCCCCAGGGGGGATGGCCATGCCACAATCTCTTCTCCTCCATTCTTCTCTCAGGATCTTGGACACGCACGCACACACGCCCAGCATGGGTTTAAGCCACCAGGTCCAGGACTCGAACAGCGGTAGACTACATGGGAGTTCAGTGACATAGCCGTTACACTAAC